AAAATTATAAATATAATTCTCAAAAAGTAAATAAACTGTGTAATATTATTTTTTTATTTCTCTCTCTCATATTTTTCAAAGATAATTTATATATTTTATTTGAAACAAAACATTACTATCAATCTAATAATTTATAGAGTGGATCACTTCATCTTTTTAGAAAGTGGCCAATAAAGTGGACTGAAGGGAGCATTAACTTGGGAACATTAAAATTAAGGAATTGGAAAAATAAGTAACAACGATTGAGGATCACAAAATTTTGAAATTAAATTTAAAGACTGTGGTCCTTTTCTGTAGTTAAAGATATTTTTGTGTGGCTGAAATGCCCCTAATAGTAAGTAAACTTGTCCTGGCCCCCAAGTCATTATGCAATTCAAGCACCTGAGCCGTCACTTTTGTCTTCATCCAAGCACCATTGCCTTCTTTGTTCAAGCCTCGATGTCTTTACTAGCATTGTCACTGTCTTCTTCATTCAAGAGCTTCGTGGGGATTTAATGTAATTGTTCTGCTTTGTGGTGAGTTCTTCCTCTTCTTTTTCCTATTCCTCTTATTGAATCTTTGGACAGTGGATAAAAAAAAAACAAAAGTTTAGGTGAATTGGGTTACCAAGGCTTAATAGAGACAAGGCATGCCTCCAAGCTCAATGAACTCTTACAAATCATTTATTAACAATATCCTCATATTAACAGTGAAATTTAAACCCATGACCTTGTGAGTTGTAGGTTAAATCCTTACTAATTGGACCTGTCTTTTGTTGGTGCAAAGTGAGTAGTTATTTTAAAATATGGAGAAAAAGAATAATTGTCTGACATTGTCTGTGCATGAAATTGTTCGTAGCTTAGTTTAGGGTTTTGTTAAATCTTGATAAGAGCATCATGGATTCGGGTAGTATCTAACAAGACGGAAGGGTTAATTAGAGAGAATTATATATGTTGAATCTAAGGTTAGGATATTTATATGTTAATTAAATAAGTAATTCATTATTGCTTGTCATGCCATCATTTTTCACAAAAGAAAAGTAGAAGAAACTTGTTTCGTTTGCTTAATTTTGTTGAATTCTATATCATGTTGTTATCTCATATCATCTTTTAAAATTGCAACACATATATATGCATCATTGCTTTTGTGAAAATTATTTTTTCTTTGGGGTGATTCTTTTCTACAATACTTCAAAAAATTCCTTTTGAACTGTTTGTTTACCAATCCTGCAATCCGTACTGCTTTTGGGGTGAAAACAATACCTAGTCAGATACAACGTGGTATTGTAAAGAATTAAAATTTAGCATGCTACTTCCTAGTTATGAATATAGAAGCTGTGATATTCACTTGCCTTTTTAGAAATATGGCATGTATATACTCTGACATACTTATGTTGGCATTTATACTTTCAATTAATGCGCTCTACTGCAAATAGCTTTCGTTTTTCAAATATGACTTGTAATGAGAGTAATTTACTGGTCATGATCAGGCTTTTGAATGGTGCAAAAGGAGAATGTGAAAGAAGATCAAGGGAGAGTGTTGAGTTCTACCTCCGGTGCCATCCAAGGAGGAAACAAGAGATCTAGGGCATAGTCACATAGTGCTGTATATGGACATGACTGTAATGTAGATTGGGATTTTTTTTGTAATTGACTATTCAGTGGGTACCATTTTTACTGGTGATCATGTTAATAACAATTGTAAATAGTTGATATTAGAATGGGTGAGTTAAAGTTTATTTTTATCTCTAAACTATTTTTGTAGAAGTAGATAGTGTCACAAACTCTTTCTTATCACATTGTCGCCCTTGTAGTAATTAAGTCATACCAATGTTGTCCCCTCTTTCTTATCACATTGTCGCCCTTGTAGTAATTAAGTCATACCAATGTTGTCCCCAACTTTACATTAGCAAACATTTACCATTAACTTCATGGATTCAGACTTTATGTTTGGGATAACATTGTTATAATTTAATTACTTGAAGGTTAATATGACTACAATTTGAATCAAATTTATTGGAGTTAGCAACCTTGTAAATAATAAGAATGAATTATATGCATTGTCCCTTTGTTCAAGAGATTGGCTTTGAAGAAAAATCCATGGAACCAAAAATCAAGTTTGCATATTTGTAAAAGCTATTCAATTTTGAAGATTAAAAATCAGGTTGTTTTGGTCAAAATATTAATTTTTAAAATGCAAAAAAGGACTATGGTCCTTAAATTCAAATTCAGGATTTTTTGGTTCTCAATAGTTGTTACTCATTTTAATTGATCCTTAATTATAATTTTCCCTATTAACTTTTACTGTTAAAATATTTAGTGCAACAAAAATTATACGTGTGGCAGTGCATGATAAGTCAAGAAACTCAAATTAAGTAACTTTTTTTGGGCTGGTTGTTTCAGCTATAAAAAGCGTGCAAACAAAAACTTAAACCTCTTGATCAAATGCCAATCTTCTATGTTGAATTGTGAAGTTTGCTGAACTATATGAAAATCCTCACTATGGTTCAGCTTCAACCCTAACTTAGCTTAAGAGTCATAATATGGTTAATGAAGACTTATTTGGATTGTTACCCTTCTTCATTTTTTAGAATTATTTTATTACTTATTTTCCTTCATGCTCTTCCCATGTTCCTATGCCTCCAGATTGAGGCTAATTTTATCTTGATGCACTCTTTAATTTTTTTAATTTAATAGTTGTTTTTTAATAACAATAAACTTAGCTAGAAAGTCGGCATTGTCTATAAAGGTCATTGAACAGGCGATCACTTGTAATTTCCCTAATCAGAATGTAAGTAATACAATGTGTAATATAATTTTTTATTTGGGAAAATCTTAACTAGGACAAACAAATTAATTATATGGAAGATCCAAAAAATCCTGAAACACCTTTACCGGTCTAGGGACCTTAATTACAATAATTTTTTTATCCAATTATCAAAATGCCCTTATTTTTTCTCTCTCTATTTTTTTTGTTGACAAAAATGTTTTGTGACTAGCTGTTGGAGCCATGGCGCTCTCATGGTGGTCAGCAATCGATCAAATGTACCAAAGGATCAAGGGTGAATTTGAACTCTTAACCCTTAGTGTTCTAAAATAAAGGAACCATTAAACCAGCAAACACTTTACTATATATAATGATAAATATATATATATATATATATATAGATAATTACTTTGACTTCCAACCATTTTTCTCAATTAATTATCGTATATTCTGGTCATCTTATTGTATATATTTAAACAATCACTTATAAATACTTAAACATCAATATTATGCTAAATATATATATATATATATGCTAAATAAATATATATATATATATATATATTTCTTTATGTTATAAATTTATTTTTCAATTATTTTTACATGCTTTTGTTAATCACAAACATTTTTTAAATGTAAATCTATATAATCACTTATAAATATTTGAACATCACTTGTTCATACAAAAAAATTATTAATGTTTTAAGTCCTAATTTATTTTCACTGAAATATATAAATGATAATTAAATCTTAAAATACCATAATTCTTTTGAAGTCCTTAAGTACCTTTCTCACATTAATGATTTTATGTTAAATAACTAAATTGTCCTTTATTTAAAATAAAAAAAATAATGAGTTCACATGAAAAGTTGTGCTTTCTTGTTAAATTTTTACAATTTACAAAATAAAAGTTATTATTATTTAAACAAAAAGTGTAACTAGTTATTTTTAAAACTTTAATTTCAATGGTGAAAGAAATTTCACATAAGAAATTGTAATTTTTTATTCAATTCTTACGATTCATATAATAAAAAATTATGATTGCTTAAATAAAAATAGTGTTAGTTATTTTCATAACTTGGATTGCAATAATAAAAGAAATTTTACATTAGAAGTTATAATTTCTTATTCAATTTTTATGATTTATAGAATCAAAGTTGTGATTGTCTAACTAAAAGTTATGATTGGGACACATGATTTGTTTATCAATGGTAAAAGAAATTTTACATGGGAAGTTTTAATTTATTGTCTAATTTTTATAATTCACGTAACAAAAATTATGATTATTTAAATAAAAATTATTATTAAGATAATGGAGCAAAACCTGTTATTTTTATTTTAAACAAAAGATAATTTAGGTATTTAATGTAAATTCATTAATGTCAAAAAGGTACTCAAAGATTTTAAATAAATTATGACATTTTAAAAGCATTGTTATTTATATATTTCTATGGAATTTTATCATCATTTTTTTATGTTAAATTATCAAAAAAAGTATGTACTTTTTAAACTTAAATAAATGAGTTTAAATTTTTTAGAAAATTAATCTTTTAATCGTTTAATTTTAAACTTATTTGTAACTCAGTCCCTAAATTATAATTTACTATAACTCGTCCTTTAATTATGATTCACTGTGATTTAGTCCCTCAACTTTTTTCTCACTTATAACTCGATCCTTATTTTTTAATTTTTTTTAAAAAATTTTTTATAAAATAAAAGAATTAAAAGAAATGTTCATATTTTATTTTAAAATACTCTCCTTTTACTTTTTGATATGAGATCTAAATTAACATAAAAAAAAAAGAGCTAACAAAAGTTGAGGGGTTTGATTAAAAGTGAGTTAAAAATTGAGGAATTGAGTTATAAATGAATTATAGTTGAGGAACTGAATTAAAGTGAGTTATAATTGATGAATTGATTTACAAGTAAGTTAGAAATTGAAGGATTAAAAAATTAATTTTTTTTAATTTTTTTATAAATATTTCTTTTAAAAAATGAGTGATTTTTAATAAAAAACTTAAACAAATGGTCATTAAATGTTTTAAGAAATTTATTTCTTTTTTTTTAAGCGAAAAGAAACTTACTTGGTTTGAGACTTTTGATTTGCTATAGATTGTCACATGCACATGTTTGATAAATAACCTTCGTGTTGATGTAATTAAAAATAGTAATACGCCCAATTTTATAATCCAAGAAATAGGCCCAGTTTTAATTTTATCTTCTTTTCAAAACAAAGTTCAGGTAGTCGCCGTCACTATCTTCTTCGTTTTCACCGATCAAAAAAGTCTGATCTGGTTAGGCCTTTCATGTTTTCCGGTTTCCGGTTCTTCGGACGAAGTCAATTATATCTCTTTCTTCCTCATAGCTGATCTTAATTTCTGAAAGCCATTAACATGTTTCTGGGCAGAGCTACTAGGCATGCCTTCCCCAAATTTCTTTCCCTTTTTGCATTTTCTCCATCTTCTTTCCTTCTTCCTCTGCCTAAGGATCTTAGCCGTAACTTTCGCTTTCTTTCCTGTTCGCTAAATCCTCGTAGCATTGAAGAGGCAGTCTCTTCATTTGAGAGCTTGCTTCACATGAATCCTCAACCCTCTATATTTCGTATTAACAAGATTTTAGGATCCCTTGCAAAGATGAAACATCACCGAACTGCTCTCTCCCTTTTTTCACAAACAGAATGCAAGGGATTTTCGCCTTCTTTAGTTACTCTGAACATCCTGATCAACTGTTACTGCCATTTGGGTCGGATGTCTTTGGCTTTCTCTGTATTGGGGAAGATTTTCAAGATGGGCCGTCAGCCAGGTACAATCACTTTAACTACGCTGATGAAGGGCTTCTGCATGAATAATAACGTTAGAGAAGCACTTGTCTTTCATAATGATTTATTGAAAAAGGGATTTCAGTTGGATGAGGTAAGCTATGGCACCCTCCTTAATGGGTTTTGTAAAGTTGGAAAAACAACTGCTGCTCTTGAATTGCTTCGAGAGATGGAGGCGGGACTTGTTAAGCCTAATTTAGTTATGTACACCGCAGTAATCGACGGTCTTTGTAAAGAAGGGCTTGTAAATGAGGCAAAAAGTTTATATCATGAAATGATTAGTAAGGGAATAACTCCTAATATTTGGACCTACAACTCTCTCATATATGGTTTCTGTTGCATGGATCAATGGCAAGAAGTTACGCAGCTGTTAAATGAATTGGTATTAGAAGGCATCAATCCTGATATTTATACTTTTACTATCTTGGTTGATGCATTCTGTAAAAATGGGAGCATAACCAAAGCTGAGGCAATATTTGTTAGGATGATGAAATGTGGTATAAAGCCTAATGTTGTCACTTATAGTGCTTTAATGGATGGATATTGTTTGACTAATAATGTTGATGAGTCAAAGAAGGTTCTTGATAGAATGATTAAAAGTAATTTGACACCTAATGTTTTCAGTTACAATATCTTGATTAGCAGGTTATGTAAAAGTAAAAGGGTTGGTGAAGCCATGGATCTCGTTCAAGAAATGAGTTGCAAAAGTTTGCTTCCTGATACTGTCACCTACAATTCCCTTATTGATGGGCTGTGCAAATCAGGAAAGATCTCAAATGTTCAAGGGCTTATTTATGAGATGCATGATAACGGTCATCTACCAAATATAATAACGTGCAATGTCTTGTTGGATGGATTATGCAAAAGCCAGCATCTTGACGCAGCAATTATGCTATATAATAAAATTTGTGGCTTGGGATTTCATCCTAATATATACACGTATACCATTCTTATTGATGGTTTGTCCAAAGGGGGAAGGTTAAATACTGCGCGACAGATTTTTCAGCATCTTTTGGTTAAAGGATATCCTTTGAATGTCCAAGCCTATACTGCTATGATCAATGGACTTTGTAAGGAGGGCTTTTTTGATGAGGCAAAGGCCTTACTTTTTCAAATGGGAGACAATGGATGCCTCCCGGATTTTGTAACTTTTGGAACAATCATTGGACATCTTTTGGAAAAAGGTGAGAACGTGAAGGCAGAGAATCTTCTTGATGAAATGCTTGCTAGAGGTCTCCTAAAACAATAAAAGAAGGTGAGGTCCCTTTGGTCATGTTGAATTTTGTTTTAGTAGTTAACCAATGTGCTTTGATAAAATAATAACAATAATAATAATATATGATCCCTTACAACCATTGAGATTTAAATGCAATTGCATTGGCTTCCCTCTGCTTTTTTACTTTAATTGTAGAGTTGTTCTCTCTCTTTATGGTATCAACGTCTATTGTTGTTGTTTCCGTAAAGCTCATTTAGTCTATGTCAACTGGATAGTTTGTTTGCATATACTGTATTTGAACTTTGTATTCTATCCGCTTGATGTGCACCTGTCATTTCTTGCAAAATGATAATAACGAGTTTTTTTTCCCCTGGCAGAGATTAGTTGTTCATATGTGTAGCAATTTAAATTGGGGCAACTTATTTCATTCTTTTTTTCATATACTCCCTTTGTCCCTGTTTGCTTGTCCTCATAGGACAAAACGTACATGGCAAGGGGGATAGAAAGTCTATGAAGAATTTCAATTATTGTTTTTTTTCCATTAAATACCACAGCAATTAAAAGGTGTGATGGGAAATTTTATTTAATTTTTACGGGTATTATTGGAAACAAGTCATTGTTATGCTTAGGAACAAAATGGAACAACAAATTAGGACAAGTAAATAGGAATGGAGGAAATATTGTTATTTTGAAGCCTAAATGCAGATGCATATACCTGCTTGGTTAATAGAAAAGGTAAAACACTCGGCAAATTGAAATTAAAACGTAAGATGTGTGAAATTGAAATTTAGGTCAGATTTTTATCCCCGTGACACTTTTAATTCATTCCTTTTCCACAGTAAAACCTCCTTTCTGTTTTCTGGTTTTGGGATGAATACCATTTGGAGTGATATAATGTCCTATTCTGATCCCATATCTCTCACATCTTTGCCTTATACAGAGTGTGTTTTAAGAAAGTCAGAGCTTGCTTGGTTTTTCTTTGTGAAGTCAGGTGCTTGAGGTCTATAGTGTATCTGATTGTTAATGATGACCATGCTGCATTACATGGTTCATTGGAATGTTTGTATTTATGACCATGTTCTAACTCTGCCACAGCTGAAAAAGGCACCTTTTGTCAGTTTTAGTCCTGAATGGTTTAAGGGTTTAAAGAATGGTGTCTATGATTTATAAGATTTTCAGTATATATAAACTTGGATGTTAGGATCTGTTCAACTTTGATTCTGTCCCCACAGAAATCTTCTCTTGGAACTAGACATAACCTGAAGTTTTTTTTAGTGCATAAGTTTGAATTTGCTTTGTTAGATGTGACTATAGGCTTTTTGAATCCTATTCTGAAAACAATTTTTTGTTCTTGAGAATTAAAAAAAGACATGTTTGGTAATGAGTTTTTGTAAATTGTTCTGGAAAAAAATAATAATAGTGCTTGAGATTTAGAAGAGGAAAAATGACAATAAAATTCCCCCAAATTATATAAATGATAATTTGATTTTTTAAAATGTCATAATTCTATCGAAATCCTTTAGGACCTTTATGTCAATACATTTTAAATTGAAAAGACTATTTTATCATTATTTTAAATCCTCGTAGCATTGAAGAGGCGGTCTCTTCATTTGATAGCTTGCTTCATATGAATCCCCAACCCTCTATAGTTCGTATTAACAAGATGTTAGGATCCCTTGCAAAGATGAAACATCACCGAACTGCTATCTCCCTTTTTGCACTAACAGAATGCAAGGGATTCACGCCTTGTTTGGTTACTTTGAACATCCTGATCAACTGTTACTGCCATTTGGGTCGGATGTCTTTTGCTTTCTCTGTATTGGGGAAGATTTTCAAGATGGGCCTTCAGCCAGATACAATCACTTTAATTACGCTGATGAAGGCTTCTGCATGAATAATAACGTTAAAGAAGCACTTGTCTTTCATAATGATTTATTGAAAAAGGGGATTCAGTTAGATGAGATAAGCTATGGCATACTCCTTAATGGGTTCTGTAAAACTGGAAAAACAGCTGCTGCTCTTGAATTGCTTTGAGAGATGGAGACAGGATTGATTAAGCCTGGTTCAGTTATGTACACCACCGTAATTGACGGTCTTTGTAAAGAAGGGCTTGTAAATGAGGCAAAAAATTTGTATCATGAAATGATTAGCAAGGAATAAGTCCTGATATTTTTACCTACAACTCTCTCATATATGGTTTCTGTTGCATGGATCAATGGCAAGAAGCCACGCAGCTGTTAAATGAATTGGCATTAGAAGGCATGAATCCTGATATTTATACTTGTAGTATATTGGTTGATGCATTCTGTAAAAATGGGAGCATAACCAAAGTTGAGGCAATATTTGTTAGGATGATGAAATGTGGTGTAAAGCCTAATGTTGTTACTTACGATGCTTTAATGGATGGATACTGTTTGACCAATAATGCTGCTGAGTCAAAGAATGTTCTTGATAGAATGATCAAAAGTGATGTGGCGCCTGATGTTTTCAGTTACAATATCTTGATTACTGGGCTATGTAAAATTAAAAGGGTTGGTGAAGCCATGGATCTCTTTCAAGAAATGCATTGCAAAAGTTTGGCTCTTAATACTGTCACCTACACATCCCTTATTGATGGGCTGTGCAAATCAGGGAAGATCTTGAATGTTCAAGAACTTATTTATGAGATGCATGATTACGGTCATCTACCAAATCTAGTAACTAACAGCATCTTGTTGCATGGATTATGCAAAAGCCAGCATCTTGACGAAGCAATTATACTATATAATAAAATTTTGGCCTGGGATTTCAACCTAATACATACACATATACCAGTCTTATTGATGGTTTGTCCAAAGGGGGGAGGTTAAATACCACGCGACAGATTTTTCAGCATCTTTTGGTCAAACGATATGCTTTGGATGTCCAAGCCTATACTGCTATGATCAATGGACTTTGTAAGGAGGGGTTTTTTGATTAGGCTAAGGCATTACTTTTTCAAATGGGAGAGAATGGATGCCTCCCAATTTTGTAACTTTTGGAACAATCATTGGACATCTTTTGGAACAAGGTGCGAACGTGAAGGCAGAGAATCTTCTTGATGAAATGCCCTCTGGAGATCTTTTGAGGCGATAAAAGAGGGTGAGGTTCCTGTGTTCATGTTGAAGTTTGTTGAAATAATTATTCAATGTAATGTCTGATATCAATTAAGATTTAAAGGAAATTGCATTGACCTCCCCCCCAACTTCGTTTCCTGAATATTAAAATTCTCTTCACGTTATTATTTTTCTTTTTCTTTTGGGTATCAGCCATAGTTGTTGGATGTCTGGAGTTTATTTGGTCTTCATCAACTAGTATATAGTCATTTGATTGACTTTCCCTTGCTGATACAGATGGGAAGCATACGTGGCTAATGATTATCCGTAGGCTTCATTCCCTCATCCCACTCTTCTTGCTATATTTTGAAGCGAAACTACTTCAACAGCCGTGAAAATCTATCATTTTTCTTTCTATTTATGGTTTGTCTTTAGAGTATGTGTTGACTATGTAGTGTCTGGTAGCATTAAGATTCAAAGGCAATTGTATTGGCTTCCCTCCTTTTTTTCTTATTTATTAAATTGTTTTCTGAGCTTTTTTTTTTCTGGCAATGACCATTGAATCCCTGAAGTTCATTGGTCTATTTCAACTAGTTAGTAGTCATTTGATTGACTTTGCTTTGCTGATTCAGATAGGTAGCATGTGTGGCCAATGATGATCCAAAGTGTTGATTCCCCCATCCCACTTTTTTCGTTATTTTAGCATCTATGTCAAGTTACAGATATGAAATCTTTCATTTTTCTTCCGTTGTTTGGCTTTGCTTCTTTTCTTGTAATGTATACCAGTTTGTTCCTCTGAAATGACCATAATGAGTGTTTGAATCTGCAGTAAGTTGTCTCTAGTGGGGGGAAAAAAGCTAAATTTGTCTGAAGCGAATCTTAGATCCATCTTGTGGTTTAGCTTATGTGCTGAAGCTTGATTATGACTCATGAAAGCAGGACGTGTGTTTGGATGAAGAAATTAAAATGCAAAAGTGGTATTTTGTTGCTTTGTTCTGATAAAATTTAATAACTCAATTTTGATTGAAATCTGCTGGCAAAGGTTGGCAACCGCAGGTCCATCTCTTTTCAATCTTTTAATTCACTCGGTAGATTTTACCAAAGCGCTTCTCAATAAAGAGGAACCATATTGGAACTATATGCACGATATTGTTAACCGGAATCAATTGCACAGGGCCATTCTGGTTCTTAATATAAAGCATCTTGTAGAAAACGTTGATGGTTTTCAGTATAATGCGCTTGATAAGATATTAATTATATTTTTTTAATATTACTTAATCACCTTTCTTTGGTTTCAGTAAACTTAATGAAATTGTCTTATAATAAAAATTGGGATAGTAAGGTTGAAGGAGGCGAACTTAAGAAAATGGACAAAACACCTAAACCTTCTCTTAAGAAGAAGGAAGGCAATACATGGGTAAGCAAATACAGCTATGATGGTGAAGATCCTGTTGATAGTAAGTGGAAGTTAGAGCAGGCATGGCTCACAATAGCACTTAAACCAGCTATGCAATTATTTGTGTAGCAGGTTTTGTTAAATGTAGAGCCAATAATTTAAGTTAAATTCAAATAAGTTTGAAAAAAATTTAGGGATGGCTTAGTAAAATAGTGATTTTTTAATGTCTAAATAGACTAAAAAAAATTTGACCGAATAAAAAATTTTACATTTTAAAAATATATTAGGTGTTAATTAATTTTTTAAGTTTTTAGTTATTTTAAACCGAATATACCATATATTCGAGTACATTATTATGAATAATTTTTTTAAAATTAAATATATTTATATTGTCATATGTTTATTATTTTTATATGAAAATATTTCCAAATACTATTTAAAATGTTAATATTAATTTTTAAATTTAAAGACCCACGTATTTTTTTAAAAAAAATTGAGTTTTTGTTTTTAGGTATCTCAAAAAATATACTCCCTCCATTAAAAAATATAGAATTTTTTTTGAGGAGTTAGATGTTTAAAATGTAAGGCATTTTTAATTTTTTGAGTGTAATCATTGCCTTTTTTCAAAAGTACCCCAATTGATAATGATTTTATATTTATTGTAGGTGTTTAATAGGGATAAATATGAAAAGATATAGTTAGTTGGAAAGTAAGTAACTTATTTATTGGGGGTCAGATTTGGTTAAAAATGCCTTGCATTTTTTAACGAGGAATATTTTATATTTTTATAAAATAAAAAATAATTAATTTTAAAAAAAATCAAGTTAAAATTAATTTTAAAAATAAAAACAATGATAATTTAGGCATTCACTGCTTGAAGTCCAAAAAAAATAGAGTTAAACTTGGTTATTTGAACTTTTCTATAAATTCAAGTTTATTCAGGCTAGCTCAAATAAGTCAGCCTGAATTAAGCTCAACCAGTGGAATTACCAGCTCTAGTTAATTGTAGAGCATGTTTTGTCTCATGAACATGAAATTAGACAGCACATATGATTACAACTTCCTGATATCTTTCTATATAATGTTATGTCAATATTCTAATATGCAGAGTATGGACTATGTTCAACTGATAGATCACTTACTTTGCTCCATTGGTGAAATTGAACATGACTGATTATTTGCGTCATGTCAACTCATTTCCTTTGTTACTCGCCCTTTTCTCTTCAAACCTGTGGGATGATGTTGAGGGTGGAAGGCATAATTTCTACACTGTATTGGTGTACGTTTGGTCCTTATAAAGAATGAGAATGGAATAGATTAAAAAATAAAAACAAAATAAATTAATCATAATCTGAAGGGAAGATAGGTCCAACTTTATCCATGAGAGTGGAGAGTAATTTAGTTCATGATGTTTGTAATGGTATGGTGATTCCTGCATTTATGATATCAAGTACTCTCCGTTAAAAAATATAAGGTATTTTTAATTGAATTTCACTCTCCAATAAAGTAGTTACCTACTTTCAAACTAACCTTATCTTTTTATATTTACCCTTATTAAAATATTTTACAATAAATATAAAGTTATTCATCAATAAAAGCACTTTTAAAAAAAGGCGATGATTACACCTTGAAAGACTAAAAATGCCTTAAATTTTTGAACATCCAACTCCTTAAAAAATGTGTTATATTTTTGAATGGAGGGAGTATGTAATATTGAATTTAATCATGTTTACCATGAAAAAAAAATAATTTAATTCATTTTTGTTATGATTTTCTTATTCATTATAGGGAGAATAATAAGTAAGAACCTTGTAAAAAATTAATACCGAATCAAGGCTTTTAGTATTAAAATATAAGAGAAAGAATATTTAATTTAAGAATGTTCGTGTTGAAGAAACCATAATTTGACATTAATATTGTTATGAGGTCCTTACTTGTCATTCTCCCATCATTCTATTCACATTCTTTTCAGCAGCTAAACGGACACTTATATATTAACATCAAAAGAAATTTTTCTCTTAGTCCACGCTACACAAGTCTATGAGAATCCATTTTCTTATATACTGAAGGCTGAGTCTATGTTTAGTCCTATGCAGGAGATGAAATTTATTGAAGTGGAAGCAAGCAAGCAATCGATCCCTTTTGGAAATAATTACCAGGATCCAGCGAAGCAAGGTTGTAAATCTAATATTGGAGTTTGAGGGACCTTAAAATTGGCTTGTTGTAGGGCCATGTGAAGAAAATTTGAGGCCTAAAGTAAAATTATTAGTGAGGCGTGTGTAATTGCTACTGGAGGAAAAAAAAAAAAAAGAAGAAGCCAAACTTTTATATATTATTTTTTAAACTTATTAAGTAATTCTAATAAAAAGCTGATCTCATAGACATAGAATTGCCATTGACAAAGTGTTTCCTATCCCTCTCGATCTTAAATCTTGTAATAGTATATGAATTATTAACTACAATATTATGGCAATATTTTTTTAGAAGAAGTTGTAATAAAAAAGGAAAATAACAGAGAAGTCTCAAGATGATCAATTAAATCAACTTGGTTTAAAGTGCTAGCTTTTAGGAATTTACAAATTCAATTCTCAATTTTGTAATTTCATTGTAATAAATTTATAACTTATTTTTTAAATTTTAAAATGATTGGAGAATAAATAAATTTATTTTAAAAATAAAGTATATTTAATAATTCAATTCAGAATAACATCATCATTTATGAATTCATATTATAAAAGATAGAAATCCATTATCATATAACAAATAATAAGAACAAGCTTTGATTGAAAATAGAAGTTAACAAATATAATAAGAAACAGCTCAAATTTTAGCCATCATATTAAATATAAATATTTATGAATGAAAAATGCTACCGATGTTGTTAGGTGGAAAATAAACTTAAATGAGAGGGATGCTATTATCAAGAATGTATCAATATCCTAAATTTGCAAAATAAATATGCAAATCTCAAACTTAAAATATGAATTGAGAATATATATTATTAGAAAAAAAAATACAATTCAAAACGCATACTTTTAAATTTAAACTAAAAATATAACTGATATTATATAACGTTTACAAATCTTAAGTAAGACCAAATGAACATGCCAGCATGCCCTGCCCAAATTATGTTGGTCTTTTTTTTTTGGGGGTTTGATAGGGTGATAATTCACAAGGTTGGGCTGCAACTAGGTACCATGAATAATCATATCATTAAACAATCATGCTAATTTTAGTAAATACTTGCAATTTAATCATTAATTTTAGTTTAATTAGAAATTAATTTTTGGTCCAATCTTATTTTAAATTATTTCAAAAACATCCACATAGTTTAAAATCAATTAAGAAATCTTTATGTGCTGGTTACTTAAGAGTCTTGAAAATTTAAAACCGTAAAAAATAGTTTGCCTTCAAATCATTTTGAAATTTAATCACAAATTAAAAATGTGCATATATTAATTAATTCTCTTTTTGGCATTAAATATAATATAAAATATGGAGAAATGCCTAATTTTTAATTTCCTAATGTAATTAGAACAAGATTATCTCTAATAAAAAATACTTATAAGTAATAAAAAAAATATACCATAAAATAGTTACAGTCAACAAATCGAGGAAGAAATAAATGACGTGTCTAGATTTTGATATTTTGGAAGCAATATTCTATTGTTATTGATAAATTAATTAGTTGAATATCCACATGATAAGAAGGGGCCCCGCGGGGGGATTACGGGCTGACATGATTTTACAATACGACGTATTTTTGAATCCAATTTTCTAAATATATAGATAGATTGCTTAATTTAAATCTATGATCGAGAACCCCTTTTTTAATATTAGAGAACTTATTAAAACTCAAAAATCACAATTTTTATGTAACATGTAACACAACACAAGGATCATAATAAGAAAAAAAAATAGCACTATATTTTAATTTTTAATATTATTTAAGACTTAAGATTTCACATCTTTTATATTCTTTTAATTTTAATTTAATTTTATCTTTCATTTAACTATCATATTTTCCATTTCATGTCATTTAGTTTTAATTTAATAACTGAATATTATATTATATTTTGTTTTAGCCTATTAGTTTTTTTTTGTGGAAATTTAAGTATTAATTTTAATTTTTTGATAATATCAAATTAGAATATCAAACTAAAAAATCTTGATTCTTCAGTAAATAAAAATATTTTTCACCTTGGAGTATAATCAAAAAGTTAAATTATACTATAAATAAAGATTTGAAATATATTAAATTTAAATAATTTATGAGATTGATTTTTTCTTACAAAAAAAAAGGTGATTCAATTTCAAAGCCCCAATAAAAACCCGGGAGCACATTCGGTGCTCATCAGGGGTGATAAGCATCACCCCTGAACAAATTTGGACCGTCCAATTAAATTGATTCTAGATTTAAATACCCT